CAAAAGACATCAAACACTTGAAATATTTTGTGTAAACTTGAAAAATGACATGAAAGCGGCCTGAAATAACAGGCTGTGGGCTGCGGGGGGTTTTGTTTTCGAGTGGATGGATGGCAGACTGGCATGCAAAAGCAAACAAACAATTTGCGGGTCTTGTCTCTGACATATGAGTTCGAATATATTTCTTGGGGGTGGGAAAAAAAGGGGAAGGAGCTGGGGAGCTCACATCTTATTCGCTGCTCCTTCGAGCTTGTGAGTGGCGTGCGTGGGTGTGCAAAGTGTTTCTGAAAGATGATTGATACGATTTGGAGTGCTCCCTCGATCCTCCGTTGCCGCTGCCGCTGCCGCTCCCGTTGCCTTTGCCTTTGCCGCTCGGGGGCGCCGCATAAGCGGTGGCGTAATGAAGCGGAAATCGATTTGGAGCGCGCTCGTCCTCGTCTTCAACCCGTGCAACCGGCGAAATCGCTCGCCGTCAGCGGGCGTGCGTGAAAAGTTTGACAGCAGCCAGGAGCAGGCCACCACCCAAACCACCCCCCGCAACACCACCCCCCTCCCCAAGGGATGATGAACAGCGGGGCGCCACCAGCAGCAGCACCACTCGCCTCCCCGGCACCACCAAGCCCCAAAACCACACGAAGAGAAACCGCATTCATATCAAATGGTTAAAAAGATAACAAAAACAAAGTCGCTTAATATCTGAAAACTAAAAATGACTTACTTTAGATTTATTCCCCTAAAAGTGTTTTTAAATAATTTTTTTTAAGAAATCTAATGTGTAAAATTCCTTTACTAGAAACAAAAACTTTAGTTTACACTAAACGAATAATACAAACTATAATAATATTAAGGCGAATGTAAATAATATAAATAATAATATTAAGCACAGTTTTCAGATCATTTGTTTTCATTTTTAGAAAAAATACTTATTTTTACTTTTTAATTTCATTTAAAACTTAAAAGATTATTATTAACTAAACAAAAATCATAAAATAATTTTTAAAGCACTTATAAAGGTGTCTAAAAGTATGCAACGATATTCGATATAATTTTCCTTGTTATTTTAATTTAATATATTCGAAGCCTGTTTTTCTGCCAGTGCAACTGCCGAAGAAAGCGTAAACAAGAAAATATTAAGCAACTGCGAGAGCAAAACAAAAACGTAACGCTGCCGAAAAAAGCTGGAGAAGGGAAAGCGAAATGCGCGAAACAAGTTTTTCGTGGGGAGAAGGGGGAGGGTTACTTGGAAAACAAGCAAAATAAAGTAAAGAAAAGAAAAGAAAGGAAAAGGGAAACAGAAGATGCTGGGGGAAAAGCGATTTCCGCCGCTCGCTCGTAACTTTTCACTTAAGCATTTTTGTCACGTCTGCCATTTTTCCTTTTCTCCATTTTCCGGAAAACACCCGCGCCTATCCGCCCATCCGCCTTTTCGAAAGCCTTGTGTAATACATTTTTGTAATATTTACTCTGCGCTTTGTTGGTTCTGTCGGCATCCCTGATCGACTTTGGGCATACTCACTTTGGGCAACAGGCTGTCTGAATTTTCCACTTTTTTCACTTTTAAGTACCTGCAAATAATCGAACTCCTTTCGGCAGGGCATTTGACATTTGTTTTGCGCCTTCGAAACTTGAGTTCATTTTTTTTTTGTTTGCCCTTATACAGACATATTTGTTGTTGTTTGTTTTACGCCATCCTGATTCTCAGTGACTTGGTGTCCTTTTTCCGGGTTCGGTCGCCGGCCAGTTCCTTAATTTCTTTTCGTGTTTTCCCTTTGCCCTTTATATATGCGCACCCGCTCTCTGATTTCCCCGCCAGGCAAAAATCATATTTTATTGTTATCGAAATTTAGTGGCGTCCCATAAACATCGATGAGTTGCCGGGGAGGTTTTTTGGGTTTACAGATTAGGGACCTGGGATCCTTTGGGTCCCCCTCCTCCTCCTCATCCCTCCTCTCACCCTTACTCGCACGAAGAACCGGAAATGTGCTGCAAGTTCCGCTCGGCGCCATAACTCTGGAGTAAACTGGGTCATCCGCATCTCCGCCGTCAGCCTGCCAACTCCGGCGACAGTTTGGATTAACCCGCTGCCGAGCTGCCGCGGCTGCGATTTCCACTGTCTTCCGGATCCGCGGGCACTGGAAAATTAGCTGGGACAGCTCAGCAGTCTCCCGGGCTTATTCGGTTTAGCACCGGAACTCGCCGGGTCCGATCTAAAATTGCAGGCAACACGGCAACAAGGAGTGAAGGAATAGAGGTCTCAGCAGGTAAAAACAAGCCAAATGCACTTAAATGGGTGGAAAAATGAATGATAAAATATGATATGTAACTGCTTCAAATATTTAAGTACTGAATTAAACCAAAATCCATAAGTCACACTTCTCTCAAAAGTGTACTTTCAATTTCAACATCAAATAAATCACTTTTATATTCTTCTTCAAGTGATTTTAAATCACTAGAGATTTATTTGGTCCAACTGAAGAGTTTAGCTTTCAGTTGTTCATTCACTTTATAAGATTTATTTGTACACATATTCCTGTAGGAAATAAAAATTGATAATTTATGAAGACCTTTGTAAAAATTTTAAAATAGTTTTAAAAAATCTAAAAGAAAGCCAGGGTCACCACGGCGTATTAGTAATAAATCCCATAAAATTAAAGTAATGATAAGTCAAGATTAACCAGTAAAAAAAAAATTCAAAAGCAAGGTTGGAATTTTGCTCATAAGCTTCATCATCGTTTAGACTTCTTATTTAGTGCCACCCTAAATTTATCCCACGAATCGGGTTCACCCCACTGCCAAAGGCCAACAAATAATGTATGGCCTTTCGGGGCTTTGTATTATTTGCCGCCTGTATTATTTGCCCTTTTGTTGACCCGTAATCTTTATGGCCTTGTTAGGCCACCGAAGGAAATCAACAAATCATCGGAGCACCTTTAGACATTTTCATTAGCCGCAATTTGGGCATTAAAATTTCGAGATGCCCGCTCTCTGAGCCGCCAGCCGATGATTTGCCACCTCGTATTTTACGGGCACCTCGACACCTTCCGCAACTCGCAATTGGGGGCATAAATTGCCGAGTGCGGCAGTTAACTGGCTAAAACTAAGCCGGCAATCCATCAAACCGGGGAGTGTATATGGTATAGTACGTTTATAAAGCGCAGGCCGCAAAAGTGCCAAATGAGAGGCTTTCGGTTTTCTATTAACTGTCAGCCGTTTAATTTACAAGCACTTTTCGAGCACCTCAGCCGCAGCAGGCGGTCGAGAAAATCGGGGGGTGGGATATTCGGTACTCAGTACTCGGTACTCGGTACTCGGTGGGCCTTTCGGGGGGTCTGATGGTCTGGAGGTGCCCAATAAATTAACAAGCAGACGAGAACGGAAATGAAATGTCTGTGTGTCGGTGGCGCAGATCGGAAGTGCGGTTTGGGTGTCGGTGTGGGTGAGTGGGTTAAGTGGGTGGCTGGGTGGCTTAACTTGCACCGGTTGAGGACACTTTACCACCGAATTCCCACCCCACCCACTCCTTTTTCCGGACAACTGGCAACTGACATTTTCCTGCCTTCGTCCATTTCCATGTCGCATGTCAAGCGATGCGAATTCTAATTAAAATTTAATTGTTTACACTTTTCGGCCAACGAGCGGAAATGGGAGCGGAAGTGCCAAAGGCTTGGCCTGCACTGTGAGAAAAGGGTTATTGGAGGTTAAAGGGGGTTATTGACAAACAAATAAAAAAAATGTTGCCTACTTTTAGACACCTTCATGTGAGATTTGAAAACTCCCTTTTTAATTTCTGTGAAAAAGTATATATTTAACTGATATTCAAATGCATTTCTCTTCGAGTGGTCACCACGCCCCCCCTCCGCCCTAATAGCCCCCCCTATTTTCCTTTCTTTTCCTGTTTTTTGATTGTCCGAGGTTCAGGTCCGTGGCCATTAGCTCTAAGTATTGTCGTGCTTGGCGCGTTTAATTGTCGCTTGGCCTGATTTACATGGACGGCGACAAAAGTTCGCAAAACAAACAGCTGGATGGGAGGGGGTAATGCCTCAGGGGGGCGGGGGTGGGGTGGCTTTTCTAGGGGGCAGGGGTGGCAACACGAACGTGCCTCGCATGCCAATGGAATGCTTATCAAAGTGTATAAAATTCATAGAAATTATGACGCGAGCGCAGAAAGTTGCAAGAAAAAGACGTTTGACGTTGACACAATGTTGTGTCAGTGTGCGTGTGTTTGTGTGTGGGTGGTGGAAGGAGGGGGCGGGGCATGGGGGCGTGGCTAAGTTGTGTGCTTAAGCGTTTTATTGTCTTTAAGCTTCATTAAGTCAAATGGCGCAAACGTTTAGGGCAAATGAAAAGCACACCACGAAGCGCCGAAAGTAAAGCAGATCCAAAGACAGCTTTTCAGATGACCAAGACTTTTAGAAGTTTACCTTAATAATATAATCTACTTAATCCAGAGTTTGCCAGAAAAATTAGAAAATGTATTTTCTATAGACTCTTAAAATTAGTGCTTGAGAATGATCGATATGTTAGATATTTGACAATAACGATTCGATAATATCGATATTTTGAAGGGAAGCATTCATATTTTGAAAACTCTCCTTGAAATGCCTAACAAATTATTTCTATTAGTGACTAGAAAATTATATTTAAAGGAACAACATTAAATAAATTGTATCTTAATTGAAAACTATTCACATGACCCCTTATTATTTTCCCAAACTATCGTTGAAGGCTTACAAATTATTATTTCCAAACTTTTTCCATCCTTTCACACTCGCCAACAAAATAGAGCACATCGAGGACGAGGGAGTGTGTGTCCTTTTTCGCCGCCTGGCAATTAAAAAGTTGTCGCCTAACGATAAACGCGCGAAATCGAGTTAGAATGCTGCAGCAAATTAAATTAAGCAGAAAACTTTGCCGAAGCGAGAATAATACAGTCGCTGGGAGAACCCCGCCTTTTTCCCCCCGGCAATGAAAAATGGAAACACGCAGGATGAGTGGGCTAAGGGAGGCTTTATAAAAGGCACAGGAAATTTTTCAGATCACCAGGCAAGATCCTGCGAACCGTACTCCTTTATTATCCGCTCGAAGGACGTCTTCACGCAGAGGACACACAACATGTTGATCAGCGGAAAGGAAAAGGGCAGCAGGGAGCGCAGGCTGCACATCCTGCGATGCAGCAGGACATCCACCACCAGGAAGAACACGTCGATGAACATGGCAATCGCGGAGATCATCAGCCAGGGACGAATGAACTGCGGCTTGACCTGAGGGGAAATTTGTTAGGTATATGTATTAAATTTATAATAATATGTTTCTAAATTTTAAATAAATACAATTCGTTTAGATTGAAAAAAAGTAATTTTGAGTAGTTTTTATCAAACATTTCAGATTAAATGGTAGATACTTAAGTACCAATACTATGAATATAACTTTAGATATATTTTAATTTTGTTAAAATTGGTTTAATATTTTTTAAAATATTTTTGGGTTCTAGTACTCACATATACCAAGGCGTATAACAGTAGCGACCACGCCTTGAACATGAAGACACTTCCCACAATTCGAAAGCGCCGCAACTGAATGTCCCTGAAAATGGCCAATTTCCGTGGCCGCCACATCCGCACCAGATGTATGCCCATCTTCTCGGAGCACAGGTCGATGAACTCGATGAGGTTGTGGAGCTGCCAGTGAAGGAGTAACTGAGTAAAATGCTATTCCATAGGCCTGAAATCAGATAATCACTCACCACTCCGAGAACACTGATGGCGAGCGAGTAGTAGAAGGTGAAGGGGAACACCTCCTGGCAGGTGAAGACATAGGCGGCCAGGAAGTTCTTCAGCAGGATCTCGCTCATCGTCAGCGGCGACTGCCAGATGGAGTAGAACTCGCAGTGGGCCGTGTTTATCCGCAGGTAGGTGCTCAGGAGATAGCACAGCAGACCGTTGATCTGCTCCACCGTGTACATGGCGATGATTTCGAACAGATCCTAAGGAAAATGAACAATTTTGGGGCAGAACAGAGAGGGGGACTTGAAACAAGAAAAAAACGGAAAAACGAAAAAGATTAGGGCATTAAATCATGGCCAACTACTCGAGCTGGCAGCCCAAGGACAAGGACAAAAAGCTGACACGACGACGATGATGATGGGGCTGCCCGGTCTCCTGGAGCTCCACTCGCTCCACTCGCAGCTCCTTCTGTCATTTGTGGCTGCTGGTCTGCTTCATTGGTTTTTGATTGTGTTTGGCTGCCTTATTTATTTATGGCCAATGAGTCCCAGTCCATTGCCAGTTCGGGCAGCTGCGAGGGGATTCGGGGAAAGCGGGGCAAAGTGGTTGCCAAAGCTTTCATAAAATATTATATCTTGTTTTTACTCACCAAGCCACACAGACACACTGATAGCCGGCACTAAAAAAAAATGTTGAGTAAAGATTAAATTATTAAAATTAATTATTAAAATTATTACAAAAACATATTGGGAACAAAAACATTAAAAATCAAGTTAGACTCTTTAAATAACAAGCCATATTAAATGAGAATAAAGCAATACATCAAGCCACATTTTTACAATTATTTAAAGAAGTATGTTAGAAGCTTACTGATTTCATTTAAAATTTATTATGTTAAAAATGTATCTAAATCAAAATAAATGTAAATAAATTAGGCACTTTATAGTTATTGTATTTAATTGGAATCCAAACATTTTCTTCAGTGTATCTATGTGTTTGCGCACATAAGCTTGGGCCAACTCATGAAGAGCCTTCGCTCACAGCAAAGTTAAATTGCAAACAACAAGGCGAACAGGATGAGGAAGTGGAGCCGGCGCCAGGAGCCAGGAGCCAGAGAGCTGGCAAAATCGAGCTGGGAATAGGGCGATGGGGCTATGAGCCAGGAAAAGCGGGAGAAAACCAGAGAAAGCGGGGGAAAAGCGGGGCAAGTCGTGTGGCGAAGTTCGCTGGCTTTTTGTATAACTTTTGATTAATAGAGCGACGACGAGGCTGCCAGGCAGCTGTCGTTGGCATAATTGCACCACATACACTCCACACTTTTGGCCCCTCCTGGGTCGCCCCCTCCCCCGCCCCTGACCCTCCTGACCTCCGCCCCTGCTCTCCGCCCAGTCATCCCCATCTTGGCCTGCACATGACAACAACTTCAAGCTCGGAGCTGAAACTTCTTACGCTAAATTGATTCCGTTGAAAACAAGTGCCTGGACTAGTGTGAGAAAATGGAAAGGGGTGTGTGCGGGGGGCCTGGGAAAACTGCACGAGGAAAACTAGAGGACTACAGGACTACAGCAGGAGGCGAAACAAAAGCTCGTCGGGATAACAGACAAATGCACTTATGCAACGCGACTGAAGACAACATAAAAACAAGCAACTTTGGCCGGATCTTCAGCCTGCTCTATCCGATTTCCATATGCCATCCCGCCAAGACGGCTTCATCCGACCCACTCCCATTCCCATTCCAATTTCCATTTCCATATCCCGAATCCCCTTAAAAAACACCGAAACTACTACAACTACAAGCATATCAAGAATTCTGTAAGGTCTGGGGCATCGGCAGAAAGCCAGGCTGTTACACTCTGCTACATGGAATTTCTCGTTCCCCTGACAGCGGATTAAGGCCGCTGAAATTTGGGTCGAGTGGTGCGAAAGGAGGGGGGTTGCGTTTGCCTGATGAGGGTTTCAGGGTTTTATCGCACAATTCATGGCCCACGGCTCTTCGCTATTTTTTCATCATATTTCACCTTTACCACAACCGATTGGAGAATTTACATTTCCATGTTTTCCTTAAGTAAATACTTTTGCATTGTAAGTTTCAGCAAACGCAAAAGAAAAACTACAAATTTTTGACAACATTTTTCATGAATGGGTAATGGGAAATACAAAAATATTTACTGTTTTGCTGATGAAGTTATGATTTTCTCACAGCCTGAGGAATTCCTATTTTTTGTTTATTCCTATAAAAGAAATTAATAAAATTCAAGAAGTTTTATATTTTAAAAATACATTATTAAATTAATAATAATTAGCGCCCCCTGAAGTAATTTTAACCTACAATTTTTTAACAAAAGATTTTATAAATTGGTTATAATAAATTTCACGACAACCCGAGGAATTTCAATCAATTATTTGTTTCCAATAAAAATATATATAAAAATATATTTTAAACATATATTATTAAATCAATTTAATATTGGCTGAAAGCCCCCCTTGAAATGATTTAAGCCTGCCTCCCTGGATCGGAAGCCGACCATTGACATTTGCTAGTTTTTCGGTGAAACGACCAGTTGAGATTTTTGCTTGATTTGCTCTGCGGTCAGGCCATTTAATTGCATTTGAGCTGCTGTCAGCCCGTTCGGTCGGCACAACTAAAGCGACATGGACATTGGACAGGGGACATTGGACATGGGACACAGGACATGGGACACAGGACATGGCCACGCCGATTGCGATTGCGGGCCAGGGCTTAAATCAAATTTAAAGCTGTGCTGTGCTGCCAGTGTCCTGATAAATTATCCATGCATGCATATTATACACAGAGGGGGTCCCTCTCCCTCCCCCGATTCTGGGACTTTTACTGGTCCTGCACATGGCATAATGCATGCACACTTAAGGCCTCGAGAGTGCCAGCCAAATGGCATGACAGAGACGGATGCTCCGCCAGATAGCGCGAGCAACAGAGATGGCGCCAAAAACCCAGACCTCAGACCTATACTCCAGAACCCAGCCCTACGAGCCCCCAACATCCAAAACCAACCCGAGACCAACCCGACACATCTCATCTCAACTCAGAAAGCTTAGCAAAATACTTTCATAATAATCTTTATGGCACAACGAGGAAAATAGAAAAAAGCAGTGGGCAAAACTGTTACCGAAAAAAAAGGAGCCAAACGGAAAACACACGGCTAAACGAATTGCACAGGCCGAAAAATCTTAAGTGACTTGGGGTGCTTTTGAAAATCTTAAAGAATAAAATCTACACAGATCTTAAGATTAATTAGATTTATGCCTTTAGAAGGGGTTTGGGTATTAATTTGATTATGATTTCAATATTTCAATAATATTAACTAATATTATTTTATTTAAAAAAATATTTAAAAAAAAAATTAAAATAGTAATTGAATGACATTAAATTAAATTATTTAACTAGTATAATATTTAGATATAATTTTTTTCCCTGTGCCAGACTCTCGCAGAAGGGCAGCCAAATGGAAATTGCCAGTGGTGGGGTTTCCAAAGGGGTTCCTAAAAAAAACAAGGGGGCGGGGGTGAAGTGCGCTGTACACTGTGATTTGCCTGCATGTTTTTGTTGCTATGCGCACTCCATGTAGTTGGTTTTTTATGAAGCCAACGGCGAGCGACCAAATGTATGCTACACCTACACCCCAAATCCCAATCCCCTTCGCACTTTTTATGGGTGTGCGGCGAAAGGGGGCGGGGCTGGCCGCCGAGCTGCAGGATTTTCAGGTTTGACGTGTTTTTGTGAGATTAAGTTGCGATAATAAATCGCCTGCTTCCTGGGGAAGTAACAACTTACCCGGCAAATCCTACGAATAACTCAAATACGACAGTTTGAATTTCTTTTGCATTTTCCCCTGGCTTCCTGCTTAAACAAATAATCGGAAGATGTACCAAAAAAATATGGCATTTTTCTTTAGTTTCTGGGAAGCGTTTAGTGCCTAAACGTCTGTAATAAAAATGTTTTTTAAGCCTTTTCGCAAACTACTTAGCCAAATCCTCACATGGCAACTTTTTGATACATCATTTGTTGTTTAAAACAGCAGAATATGCAAATCATTAATATTTTCTTTCATTAGAAAATTCACCAACTTTTGGGGATTAGTTAGATCAGTTTTCTGTGATTTTTGCGGGAATAATAAAATGCATTTTGTATTGCTTCTTAGAATTTGTACTCCATTTTGCCTGAAACCCTTTAGCTTACAGAGAGAGAAATGCAGCTACTTCTTAAAAATATGAAATTCTGTGGATAAATTTGTGTTATTGGTTTTGTAAATATGTTTTTAAAGGAATTTACTTATGAATAATATTTTATTTTTATTATGTAAGGGTATCTATATTGATATACCATTATAATCTTCAGCTTTTGGTCAGTGTAGTTGAAGGCGAACTCCTTTTTTGGGGACTGGCGTTTTGTTTGTTTTGCCAAATGCTAAAAGCAAAGTTGGATTATGTAAGGGCAAATATGTACGAGGATATGGGCGTGTGTATGTGTGGGTGAAGATAATACAGGCGAATCTGGTGTCCGCCATATCGGGGTGCATGTGTTTGTGTGTGTGTTTTGGCCTGGCCCAAAAGTTAAATGTGCTGCTGAAGCCGTGGCAAGGTGAGTTTTATATGCTATAATTTTTCTCCACCTTGGTTTTTTTTTATTTTTCCATTTTTCTGCGCTCCAAGTGGGCGGGGCTGCTCTGCATGAGCTGGATTTAATAAATTCTAATGTTTGCTTACCTTGCCCGAAAGGCTTTCAACCTGAAACCGCACACAGAGACGAGCACATATGGCGGCAGATGGTTTTTGGAATACGGTGTGGTATAGTATGGTATGGCTATAAGGTCTGGGTGGCGGAGGGGGCTTAACAATGTAAGGAGCTAGCCAGCCAGCTGGAACCGGAGAGCCCGGCGCCATAGCAGATTTACTTTTATTGCAAATTGCAATTCTGCATTCTCGGCTGCCTCCTCTTCTCGTATTTTCCTCCTCTTCTGGCCACATGATATAGACATTTAAATGAATGAATAGACAGATACACAGAGGGTGCTGGAAAATGGGAAATGGAGGATGTAGGGGTGAAAACCCAGACCCTCGGGGCTAATGTGCAACTGGAGCCGGGTATTTGCAGCCAGGCATCTGCATTTCATAAGCGAACCACCTCTCATCTGTCCACCACAGTGACAGCCGGCTATGATGGACATAAAGCAGCCACTGACTTGGCACAAATTGAAAGCATAGAATTACACGTATGCAGTTTGCGGTAAATGTTGCATTTCCGAAATGCGAAACTGACTCTCTCTGGATTTTTGTGAAAAATTGAATTTTTTCTGTTTGTTTTTTTGCTGTAACTTGGCCAAAAATTGTCTTATACCAAAAATACATACTGTTTTGAACAGATAACTAGATTATCAATAAATCCAGAACACTTTCCGTGTCATTTTGGAAAAATAAAATTTTCACCAATTTTTAATTTTTTTATAAGGGGGTACCCCATGATTTTTTGCGAAAAATTAAAAATGAATAAATTGTCAAGGTTTAAATGCCAATCGTTAGGAAATTTAATAACGAGTTCAGAAAGGTATGACAATCCATATTTGGGTTAATATTTCCATTGTTAAGGTCAAAAAACGCTTTTTTTGTAAAGAGGTTTTTCTTGTTTTTCTTGTAATATTAGACTTGAATTTCCTTTGATGTATTATAGTATTTTAATTATTAATCTTTTTAATATTCACCAAAATGGTTATAAATATATTTTTCAAACAGTCTGAAATAATTTCCAATCACTAGGTACATATTTTGATACAATTTATTCTTAAGAAAAAAAATGTATACTTCTTCTTTCTTACTCATTAAACTAAAGTCTTTTCGGAATATTCTCTTTACATACTTTCCTTCGCTTTTAATTACTCGCTTTGGCAGCAGTGGGAAAACTGCAATTTTCCCAGAGCCCCGACTAATAGGTGCCATATCAATTTACCGAGCAACGAGCAGCCACTGTGGCCAAATTCACTGGAAATAGACAGCCCTTTCGGCTGCAGCTGCACCCGAGAAAAGCAGAGGGAATGGATTCAAGTCTATGCCTTTAATTAATAAAGCCATTTCTCTATTATGTTTGGGATGGATTCAGCTAGGATTTCAGACTTCGGATTCAGAACGGACAACAATTGGGGAAAGGAAGGAAGTGAGCTAGCGGAACCAGGTCCAGAACTTCCACCACCTGCGATTCGATCGCTGGTTGGGCGGCGGCACTTGGGGGCGTGGCATCGGCTGGGGCGGCACCACCGGCAGCATCGGCGGCTCCCGCTCGGCCAGGTTGTCCACGCGGTTCTGGGTGGCCCGCAGCACGCAGTTGCGGTACTGCTCCATGGCCCCGAAGCAGTTGCACGACCGCTGGCGATGCGTCTGCAGGCAGCTCTGCAGCCGGGCGGCCACGTCGGTGCAGGGCGGCTCCGCCACCTCCTTCAGGGAGCCCGCCACCTGCTGCAAGAGCCGGTCGAACTCCGCGTAGATGGCCTCCGTTGGCCTGGCAAAGAAATGGCAAAGAGGCATTAATCTATACAATTCATGACAAAAAAAATCTAAAAAAAAAACCTAAATTCGGTAATAATAAAATGAGAATATTTAAATAATTTTTTTTAGTACAAGGTAGGTAATTTTTCTAAACCAAGAAAAAATACCTCATTGAGTTTTTGGCATTTTTTCTTGCCAATTCTTAAGGGGTTTACTTACATTCGCTGGATATCAGACGTGATGTTTTTCGATCTGTGCCTCACCAGCTGAGGTGATGATTCCATGGATACGAGTTGTGGTTCTAGATGTTCCTGGTTTTGGTTATGGTTCTCCTGTTCAGGCTGTTTTGGCGGCTCTTGCGACTCCTCCGACTTTTCCGAACTCTCTGCCTGCTTAGCCGTGGCTTCATGATGTTCTGCCCCCTCGCCCTTGACCCCGCCCCCCTCGGCACGCGTTTCGCCGGCCAACTGAGCGCCCATTTGGAGTGTGTGCTCGGATTATCCCAGCTAGATTCGCCGCGTGTGTATTTTGGCTGCGACTGGGTTAAACCTGTGAACTGTGAACTGTGCTGTTGTGGTGTTTTTTTGTTGTTGTCAAACAGATAAAATTTTCATGGCTAGAGATTTCGAGTTGCTAAACTAACTGGGAAAGTGAAAATGTTCTCCGTTTGCTTTACCCGAAATTTGTGACTTAGCACTCCTGTGTATAAATAAATGGGTATTTTAATGAACCTTTATTTTATGTTGTAAATATGAAAAATAATCTTACAATTTTAGTTGTACTAAAAGATTATATATCTTTAAAATTAATATAACATAATAGTCTCTTAGTTTTGTTTTGTACTGTCATCTTTAATATATAAATTAAATATATTTACTTAATTTTCTATATTATTCGGTCTTGTAATTTATATTATTTTTAGGTAATATTATCTGTTCCATAAATTAGACTTCTTACCCGTGGCTCCCTGGGCCATTAAAGCACCAATGCCTTTTGATCCCGTCTCATCTCGGCAGCTGTCAATTTGAAAGCATTTTGACCTAGGGTCCTGCGAAGGACCTGTCGTTCAGGTGATGATCCACCGAATGCCGCCACCACCCAGCGCCACCCAACCCGGAATCCCCCGGAATTTTTGCTTAATTGCGCATTAGAGGGAAAAGTTTTCCTGTTTCCTGCGAATGGCCACACAGCGCAACACATTGCGAAAGTTCAGCCAGACAATTTGACGATGGTCCACGATGTCCGTCAAATGCAGGCTTTCTCTGGCTCTACAGCTTCTTCATCTCCATCTCCATCTCCGACTCATCCGGCTGCATCCATGTCCTTCCTCAACCTCATCCTCCCGAACTAATCAAGCCAAAGCCAAAGCAAAAGCAAACTGACTACCTGTACAGGTGGGGTCGCAAAAACTTCTCCGGCTGCGGGGCATAAAAAAGTCAGAAGAAGAAGTTTGTTGTGGCTGGCATTTCGTTATTGGAATTTTCATTGGCCACAAAAATACTTTTTCGATTAAACTTTAACGGCGCGTAAAATGCGAAGCCGGTGACGCCAAATGGCCGGAAAAATGCCGAGGCCGCCCTGCAGTTCCCAATGCCAAATCAGAAAATGATTAATTACAGAATGCTTTGTGGGGGGGAAAAAGGCAGAGTCCAGGATCCCTGGGACCCCAGGACCTCAGGATCTTGCTGCGCGGCCTGCCAAATGCCAATTAGCGGAAATATTTCACGTGGCCGACGTCGCCGACTAATGGAAATAAATTAGTTTCGCTTCCCCTTTTTGGCGGCCGAAGGGCCCACATCAAAAATGTTAAATACGCATTCTCCGGGGGACCAGGGGTTATGGGGGAATGCCATGTCCGAATGGAAATACCCACTATCCACCATCCACCGTATTCGGGGAAAATCAGCGCCGTGGGCAAAAACTGGGCATGACACCCAAAGCCGTTCGTTAACTGCTGCGGAATATCCAGCGGAACAGCGGCATTGTTTTCGGCCACCAGAACTTCCCACTTGGCTATTTTCGGGATATTTATGGGTATTCGCTAAATGCAGTGTATATACGTCTAAAAAAAATTTGATATCATACGATGATCGATGTGATGTTATGCGGGGCACTTCAATTTTACCAGCAGTGAATGGTAAAAACGTTATTCGTATAAATACCATAAATTTGCCATGAGCATACATATATTAAATTACACTTACGTTTATAGACAGAATTTAATAGTTCTTTCCAAAAAACTAAAAATTTAGAAATAAAATAAATTGAAATGAAATTAACTACATTTTGAAGATTTTATTTTAAAATATACATGTTTTTTTATTTTTGTAAATATAAAGATTATTGATAATATCACTAATTGATATATTTATTTTTTTAAAAAAGTCTCTCGCCCAAATAAAAATACCCAATTAATCTCCTGAACGATAAAAATCTGTGTGCTACTTAAAAATAATCCCTAGCACTTACAGATATTCATAATACCGTAGTTGGCAGCTTTTTTTTTGGTCTTGTCGTAATCCAAAGTTTGCAACACTGTTGCAGCCAGCTGAAAAGTTCATTTGGTGCCCCTGCCCCAGTGGCAGCATTCGGTTTTCAAAAGTCCAAAGTGCGTGTCCCCCCTGAAACCAAAGTCCCCGGGACCAAGGGACCAAAGGATTCCATACATATCAACCGGCTGGCATTATATTCCGGCGGGGGGCGGCGTTTAATTGCCACGCCCACCAAACATATTTAGTTCGGACCATGATCAGGCTGGAAGGCTGGAGGATACTCGAACACAGGGATTACAATCAACATGAAAATCAAGCGTCAAAAAGTTTTTACCACCACGTAATCCGCAGCAGTTTTTCATCTTCAGCGGCGGCAACGGCGGCATGCGAGTGGATGTGCCACGCCCACCACAGTCCACAGCCCCCTGGCCTTGGCAGTGTGCTGCAGATGTGCTGGAGGAGCAGAGAAAAAAAAAAGCAGCAGAGTCAGGAGGAGAAGCTATGGCCGGAGCATCAGCATTAGCCGAGCACGTTCAACTTTCCAGTGGCACGCGAAACCGCACAAAATGTCGCCTCCCCACTTGCGAACCTCTTACTTCATCACACTTACTCGCACTCGCGGGGGGTAAGCACCTCCTCCTCCCCAACGCCCCTTGGCAAACCCCCTTTTTCAGCCCAGTCATGCTCTGCGCATTTTTCGCACATTTTTGCCCCTTTCTTTTTCATTTGATACCTCAAGGGTTGCCGCGGGCATATGTGGCTAACAATCGCAATTTTTGGGATCATATGGTATTTTTATCCCTGATCTCGAGATCTGGAACGAGTTAAGTTCTGTATAACAGTTCAAGCAATAGCACTGTCGATAATATCAATGGTTTTACAAATTTAGTATTTCGATATCGATGATAACGACTTTTTTACAACCCTATTTAGCATTGCATTGAGTCCATATCGTTATCAAAGTTATTTTAGGGCCTCTAGAAATAACTGCTCCGGCAATTCTCATGCAGTTTGTCACCATTGCCATCTTGTGCTATCTCTTTGATAGTTCTGTGCACCAATATAGCATCTATTCCAAAATCAAATGAAGCCATTCTATGGTTTTATGGCAGATCGTAAAAAATAAAGAAATCGCAGTGCTGGGTATTTTATGTGTGGCAAACTCTTTTATGCTTCTCCTTACTGTTTTTTCCTCTTCATTTTTTTTTGTGGTGGCTGTTGGTCGATGTGCACTGGCTTCGCTCGCTATATTTTTCAGCATATAAATTTTCGTTCAAGTTGAAAAGTTTCACATACTCCTGTCACGTAACGCACAGTGGGGTCGTGGGGCGGTGGTCGGTGGTTTTTCGGTGGCTAGTGGGTGGTGGGTGGTTGGCTGGATCGCAAGGCTGTCAGCGGCGTGGGTCGCGTGCTGAGCTGAGGTCATGCCACGCCGGAGTCGGTATTCCGGAGTCCCGAGTCCCGAGTCCCGAGTCCGAGTCGCTAATTTATGGCCTGACATTAGAATGCAATCATATTCACTTAAAAAAGTGCATAACTTTTGGCTCCTGCCGTTTGCCCGACTTACGGTTGTCATCGCTGTTGTTCCTGCTGCACCGCCATTATCGCCCCTTTCCCCCTTAGCCTCCTTTTCCCTGCCCCTGCCCCTGCTTTTTGCCCCCGCTGCACTTCGGTGCAAATAACTTTTATTGCACTCGAGCTTAATTGCTGTACAAATTGCTGCTAATCGCGCGTGTGTTGCATGCGAGGCGAGGCAAAGGTTGAGGTTAGGTTTCCATTTCCGCTTCCGTTGCGCCAGTTGACGTGCGGCGTTGCCACCTGGTTGCACGTAACGTAATGCGTGACTGTACCAAAGCCATTTCTGCGATTAATGGCCTGCACTCCGAATTCATCGAGCTGATGTAAATGCATTCAAAATGTAATTAGTACTGAATTAAAGTGGCTTTGCTTGTTAAGCTGCTTGCAATGGAAATTAAGCAAGTCCAGGACTGCATTCGTAATTATACAAGTAAATCCATTTTCAATAAGCAAACAGTTTTTCACCCGCCTGTGGGACTCCACAAAATAACCATAAATCAAGCATAATTATTATTCTGACATACATTTAACTTTTACTCAGGTGATTAGAAATTTGCCTTTATATTTTCACTGTTGTAAGATAATTTTCTTACTTTACAATTGAACCATTTTCATTAAATTACCCAGCGTAAAGCCTTTTCAATATTGGCAAGTAAAAGAAAGCGTTGTGATTAATTATTATTTTAATGATTGATCGTTTTTTTAACATCAGCTATTGAATATTACGTAAAGAAATTGTGTGATTAATTCCCAGTGAGGTTGTGGTTTTATATTAATTAAACTTAAATTGCGATGATTGATCGCTGTATGGGGATATTAATTTAGCACGCTAATATTCCGTGGCATCATTAACTAAAACAACAGATTTGGGTTTTCCTTTCTTTTTTTTTTTTATCCCCAACCGAACAACTTAACCTGGCCAAAATAAACGGGAAAAGCCGCAAAAAGCGAAAAGAAAAGGGGGCGAGAATCAAATAAATAAATCTCATCATAAGCATGCATATGCAAATGAATAAAATCTAAACCGAAAAGTGTAAGCCGGCGGCAGCGGCGCCACTGACCCGTAACATGTGTCGCCCGTCCCAGCGGACACGCCCACTTCCCTCCCCTTCTGGGTGGGATGTGTGTGGGCGAAATGGGTGGTTTGTTCGGCTGCCGGGTTGTCCTGGTGTAACATAAGCCGCAAAAAGATTTTCGACAACCGGGGAGCCGGGCAAAATGTGAAAACCAAAGAATTATTGCCTTGTCGCCTGTCCCTGACCTGACCCTCTGCCGTCCTGCCGTTCTGCCGCTCCAGCTCCACATCTCCACATGACCGCTCCACATGGCCGGTTGCCGTAATCTTTGTGCCAACGCCAGCCGCCGACGTCGGCGTCAACGTATCCCCAGGCTGCCAGTTTACAATTTTGCAGCCGACACCGAGTGCCGACAGCTTGGATATTTTCCAGCTAGAAAATGATATTTATTTTAATGAATTATTTGAGAGTTTCCAACTAATTTTAAAGGGATTTAACTTAATTAAAAAATGGGAAAATGTAATCTTATAAGAAAC